GCTGGTCCCCACAAAGATGTGAGTGCCACTGCATGTCTCCTGTGCACGCAGGCAATCAGGAGGTTGAACACATACCTGCACAGTTCACCTAGTAATGCACTGCACAGGTGCACCCTGGGAAGGGGGCATGGCTGTCATAAGCGTTGCTTTTCAGGCTGAGAACTTTTCATGGTCGCCCAGTTTGAGCATCTGGTCTGACGTGACTCTTCGCAGCTACCCTGGGGAACAAAGTGTGAAATGAAAGTCCTCTGAGCCCTGAAACTGACCCCTCTCTCTGACCCAAGTCTGGTGCTCATGGTTCTTTGGTGTGGTCCGGAGTACCTTAACCAGCGTGATGGAAAAGATGGCAACCAGGTCAAAAAGGTTTCTGCCGTTTTCTAGCAAATTACCCCCCATTATCCAGATTAATCTGAAAAATTGGCCTTTCCCAAAAACAGGATCTGCGCTTCTCGAATCTTGAAACTCAGTGACTGTTAACTTCCTTCTGATTTAATCGGTCCAGCAATTTTTCTCTGCACTGTATAATCTAATTGAGCTGTGGAAGCTGGTTATCAATAGACTTAGGGTTCATTATGGGGTCGATTTATTAACAAAAAAACAACGACCTCATGTCTTGTTTCGCATACAGATGTCCCGCCTGGAGAAGCTTGCCCCCCCCCAAGACGTCCATTTTTCATTGTTACCTTTTTTGTTTTTCTCCCCACCAAACAAGCCCCTCAGACTGAGGGGATGAAATTACGTTTAAACCATAAGAACTTGTTTTACAAGCCAAAAAAAGAGTATTTTTATAACAAGCAACCGCTTTCAGACGAGGCTGGAATTGTTTAAATGCAGCTGGGACAAAGGAAATCTGTTTTGATTATCTTTGGCGTTTTTTTGGGTGGGGGTGGGTGGGGTTTGAAAAAGCTGCAAATCAGAATAATAAGGATGACTTCAGAAGGCTGCCGTGGCAGAGCGGGACGGGGCCGGCGGAGCGATTGCTCGTGCCACCGGCTTCAGAAGGCTCTCACTCCATCAGTCAGGAACTGAGAAATGCCTCGTGTGAATGGGGGGGGGGGGGGGGGGGCTCCCAGACCGAGCGGGGGGACAAAAGCCTTCTGTTTTCGGGCCCCTTCCGTGCCGTTTCAGACTTCCTATCCCGTGGAGGTAAATGGCGGCCTTCACCCGGGGATGGAAGCGCCGCTCCAGCCCGTTACTCGAGGGCCCCTTCCTCGGCCTTTTGATCCCGAGCCGCTTGACTTGTGATCTTTCATGGATCGTTGATGGAAGAGGATCGGCCCCGCTGAAGGAAGTCCCCCGGGGAGCGTGCGGTTTGGGGGTTTGGGGGAGGGGGGGGGGGGAGAACACTAACCTCGCGGGTTACAGGTAGGCTATTCAGGTAAAGGCCTGGATTCTCAGTCTCATTATAAAGGCACTATGTGTGAGTGTGGCTCCATTCACGGCGACTCTAGATACCTGTCCTGTGCTACTGCCGCCCTTCCTTCTTCGTTTTTTCATCTACCCCGTCTTGCTCTGCATGACACACAGACACATATGCAGGTAAGATCGAGCTTGGCAGCGAAGGGCAGCCACACCCACATAGCTGGGGGTTATGGGCCTTTTCCAAGGGCCCATAGACGTGGCCGTTCTGCCGAGGCCAGGCTCGAACCCGTGACCCTTCGATCACAGAGGCTCAGGCCCACCGAGCCACACGCCGCCCTTTTACTGAGGCCAGTTGTTTGTTTAACCTCCAAATCGATTGGTTCTCATAGCTGTATATTGCTTATTCCCGGGGGACTCACTGGAAGCTGGTTGCTGGGGGCGGAGCCTATCTCGGGCGTCCCGCAGCTAGGTAACAAAGGCTGACCAGCATGTGCGGGTGTTTTCTCTGAAAGCGCCGTTTTCGTCAGTCCATTTTCACACCCTGAGGAGGAACCTGCTGGG